GATAAGTATATGCTGATATGATAAAAGGTATTAATGATAATAATAGGATAATGATTAGGAAGAAGATAATCATATATGTACATGTGTAGAATTGATATATGAATAGAAATATGATGGTATATGTATATGTATGCATTAGGTTTATATGAATTGGTATATGGTTATATTATATGTTTTATATGTCTCACTAAGCCATCGACTTAGCGTGTGATTGTTTCACACGTAGGTTGAGGAATCGAAAAGAGAAGTAAAGAGGAACAAGACATGTCAGTTCTCCTTACCGAAGATCAGATCAGAAATTTAGTTAAATTACATGTATTTTGTTAGAAAGAATTTAGTTGGCATGTAATAAAAAGAAAAATAAAGAGATTTATATCGGATACGTTCTGATCGAGTTTTGTAACGTTTAAAATGTGTATATGTAAATGGAGATTTTATACGAATTAAAACTTGGATTTTTACGAATATATACGTATTTTACGGAAGTACTGTAGCAGTACTGTAGCAGGGGAATCGGTTCCCTATTTGTAAACTGGAAATTTTAACTTTCGGGGTACTGTTCGTCTCTGTTCATCACTGTTCATACCGTACTGTTCATACCGTATTTTATTGTTCATAAATACGTTTTTACCTCAAAATTTTATACCAAACACAATTGAACAATATATGATCGTATTTTCTTAAAATAAGTGCAAATGTTTTGATATTTCCTAAAGAAAAAGGTTTTAAAAAGTCAATGTGACATCTCGGACTCGTATTCGGGTTGGATACGGGTTGGGGTGTTACAGGTCTTGTATGCTTAGCTTCTACAAAAATTTCACATTTGTTAAAGCTAGTTGTGTCTAGTTTAGGCAGAACATTCATATTTATCAATTTCATTAAAGCATGAATATTCACATGTTCTAATCTAGCATGCCACATATCAATGGATTCAACAGTATAAGCATAAGTGGTATCTTTATTTTCATTAAATTGAGTTTCTATGCCAAATAAACCATTGATTAAAAACCCTTTCCTAACATAATCACCATTTCGGGAAAGTACAAGTTCATCTGCCTCAAAAACTAACTTAATGCCTGCCTTATTCAGAAGCCCACCACTTATCAAATTTCTACGCAAGGCAGATACATACAGAATATTATTTAAGGCCAGAGTTTTACCAGAAGTCAGCTTGAGTAAAACCTTGCCTTTGCCTAGCATTTCAGAGCTGCTAGAGTTCCCCATGTACACACGTTCACCTGTGTTCCCATCCTCGAATTCGATGAAAAATTTATTCCTTGTGCAGAAATGTTTCGAAGCGCCGGTGTCAACTACCCATTCCGAACTATTTTCCACCAGATTAACTTCTGAGACCACCGCAGCAATGATTTCATCATCTTCTTCTACAATGTGCATCTGTGACTTGTTGTTATTCTGGCGGTCTGAGCGTTGTTGGAATTGGTAAGCTTTGTGGCCAGGTAAACCGCAGACATAGCACTTGAGCATATTTCCTTCAGGTTTGGCCTTTCATGACTTCTTGAAGTTGGTAGCCTTCTGAGATTTTGTCTTCTTGTCTTGATTCCAATGTTTCATGATCTTCTTGAATTTAGACTCAACCAAGTTAGCTCTAAAAGATAAATTACTCATAGAATTAGTAGGATTATTTTTTAAACGATTGGTTTCTTCAATCTTCATATGGACCACCAGCTCTTCAAGCGAAATTTCTCTCTTCTTATGCTTAAGAGAATTGCGATAGTCAGACCATGACTTAGGCATCTTCTCAATGAGAACATTGGCTTACAATATCTCACACATTTGCATCCCTTCGGCGATGATGTCAGCGACTAAGTTCTCATAGTCATGAACTTGATACATTATCGGCTTGTCATCTGTCATCTGGAATTTGAGCCATTCGCCGATAACGTACTTCTTGATCCCCGCATCACCAGCACCATATTTTTTCTCCATAGTGTCCCATATTGCCTTGGCACTCTTTTCTCTAAGGAACATATCAAATAATTTATTTGACATGTGACTGAGCAGATGTCCTCGCACCGTTTTGTTGTCTTTCTCGTATTTCTCATAGGTAGCGAGAGCGGAGGCGACAGTTGCTAAGGTATCATCATTCAGAACCGCATCCGTATCATTACCGGCAGCTGGGGTTGGCGGCATGGTAGGTGGTGGCTTGAGCAGCACGTAGTCAAGATCAAGCTGCTCGAAGAATATCAAGATTCGTTGGGACCACCTTCTATAATTCTTTCCATCAAGTGCATTGAGCTTGGAAAGATCGGGAATGAGTTAGCTCAAAGGTGTTGTCATGATTGCAGTATATAGAATTTGTTTCTAAATTGTTGGAAATATGGACTGGAAAATCACACCGTTAGCACTGACAGGAAAGATAAACAGTAATTTAAAAGGAACTGATTCGTAAACCGTGTCGTGGTAAAACCACTGCCTTAGAAACGAATTCGCCCCGATGTGTGTAATTGCTGCAGTATGCAGACCATCCCCCGAGGTTAACACGGTCGCTCCGAATTCCGTACACCCGAAACCGGAGTGGATAACTGGAGGTATTGCACTTCTGATCGGAAAGCACACAGAGAAAATATTTAGAAAACACTTGGAGAGTGAATTCTGAATGTTGAGAGTGAGTTGAGAAGCTGAATCAAACACTCTATTTATAGGCTAGAAATATGGTTAAAATCGTCCATAAAATATCAAGATTAAAACACTTCATTGTAACAGCTGAAACGTCTAAATGAACCTGACTCAGAAATAGTCTAGGTTCATTGCATCATTATTCAGCTATTATAACTCCTGAAATTAAATCATGTAACTCCTGATATTAACAGCTTGTCTCCTTTGTACAAAGCTGGAAATCAGTCCAGATACATCTTAACGTTTTTTATTTAATTTAGGAAAAACTGTTTAATTTCTGATAACTCTTAAATCAGTTGTTATCATTCGAATTTAAACAGTCCTCAACAGCCTATAAATATCAGTTGAAATCTTTCACATTTTTTCATTTGTTTCTTTCAAAGAGAAATTCCTCAAGAATTTTCTCTAAAAAGATAATATCCGTGCGGACGTGTCGAAACCACGACCACAAGCAGGACGGCAGCGGTGGCGGTGCGCGAGAGTCCCCCTTGTTCTCTTTCACTTAACAAGGAAGTGGGAAATCCAAACCTTAAATACTCATTCCCAATAGTGTTTCAAATACTATGTGGGATTGAGCATTACCAAAAAGGATAAAAAGCCTACCTCTCGCTCACTTCCAAATATATAGGAAGCATGAAAACACCACCACTCAAATCAGCTTGAACACAATTTTGTTTTAGCACTTAGCAGTGGCACAATTTACCCGAACAAAAACCAACAAAAATGCAAGCCTTTTACTTGCTTTCTTCTTCTTCTTCTTTGATTGTGTATTTTAAACTTTTTGAAATTCAATAATGAAAATTGATCAATGATTCAGCTTGTTCATATCATTAAACATCTGATCAACATCTGTTATTTGACCAATTATGTCATATGCTCTTGTACTAAAAAAACTCTCCAAGTTTTCTTTCTTTTCTTCGACTTCTACTATTTGATCACTGTTGATGCATCCTTCATTCCTTCAACGTCTAATATACATCTATTGTTTGAACAGTGTATTGTTATACAACCAAAACTTCTTTCTTCTTCTTTTCATTCTGCATATTTTTATACAGGACAACCACCAATGTCAGCCATTACGCCATTTGAACTTGGCAGCTGGATATGAAAACAACTCAATCCTAAATTAAGATTATACATGAAGGATGAGAGTAAGTAATAAGAAAAATGAAGGACTTTATTATAATTTCCTAATTTATAGAAAATTTCAAAATTATAATTTTAAAAATATGTTTATAATTTTAAAAATAAATTATTTTTTTAGAATTATTTTTTATAAATATTTAAAAAAATATTAAAATAAAATTTTAATTATAATCGAGGGGTCAAATAAGATATTAATTTATTGTGTTACATCATTTTCTAGCAGCATAATCTTTATTTTATAATGAAATTAAAATTTTAAAACTTATTTCATTATCTTTTTAAAGTTTAATACTTAAAAATTACATAAATGGTCCCCCGATTATAAGTCTATTGAGTTCTTTAACTATTAAAAGTTACAAAATGATCCCTCGATTATAGTGTGTTGCTTTGTTGATTCCTCCATTATTAAAAGTTTTAAAATGGTCCCCTGATTATAAGTCTATTGAGTCCCTCAATTATTAAAGTTACAAAAACTGACGGTCGTCTGAACTAGACGTTAACGTGCTGACTGGAATAAAACAATCTTTTGAGAAATTGTGACCAAATTTTAGCATATCTCATTTAACAAATTAACGTCTAGCTCAAATTGCAGTCAATTTTTTAACATAAAATGATGAGTTTGGAACATATAAATAATTGTGTGATCATTTTGTAACTTTTAATAATCGAGAGAATCAACAAAGTAACACTCTATAATCAAAGAACTATTATGTAAAGAGACTCAACAAAGCAAAGCATATAGTTGGGAACAATTTCTATGCTTTACCCAAAATTATTTTAGGATAGTTTAGTGATATTGTGAACTTTACCCAAAATTTATTAGCGTTTTCGAGCTCTGGCTGGAATTCACAATTTGGGGGATGCTCGGTCAAAAAGTGCACACTGAAGTGAAAACCATTTGGCAATTTCGATATCGAAATCCCAAATTTTCAACACTCGGGTCAATATGTGGGCTACCATCAAACCTCTTTTCTCCTTCCTTTCTCTCTTTTTCTTGTACGATTCAATCCGTAATTCCGACATTATGATATATAAATATTTTTTAAATATTGACAACATATAAATAATATAAATATAATTATTTGTATTTAAAACTTTTAAAAAGTAATATTTTATAATTAATAAAATTATTTAATGACTTCTATAATATACAAATATTTATATCAACCCACCGACAGATATGTCTATAAAACCAATTCGCTATTTACATAGTTTCAACACATTCCATATCTCTATAAAAGCGGGGGATATATATATATATAAAGAAGAAGAATTAGGCTCGAGCCAACAAATGCCGCCCCGCAAGATTAATAATGGCATCAACAGATGATTTTACAGATGTTTTTACATATAGGTCCGTAGTGATTGTTGACACGTTCCTTTTTTTACTTTCCTTCATCACTAGCAGCAGTTGCAGAAACGTAATAAGCAACCGAAAACAGCCCATGAACAAAACACAAAATCCCTCCGATGGACAGGATATGGTGGTGCGTCAGCCCACACGACGCCTTGGACTTGTCGTTTTGTAGTATCCCTATCACCAGAGCCCCCAATCCCACCACCAATATTATCCTGTTCAACCCCCGGCCCTAAAAATACATCAAATATTCACAATACATTTCAAAGAAAAGCAAAATGTGGCGTGTCTTACCAAGTGAAGAAGAAACATGCGACCGAGAGCTGCGTACTAGCGGAGGATCTGTGGAACTCTTCCTGAGAACAAACACACATGCACCCACCAAGCAGGTTGGCAAGCACATGGGCTAGAGTCAGCAACGCCGCCGCGCCCAACGCTAGCTTGAATGCATCGCGGCTCGGGTCTTTGCACTCCAATATCCACACCCTTAAGTGCTTAACCTTTTTTTTTTTTAAAAATACTCACAAACCAACAGAAGTAAGAACCATTACTTGATAAAGATGGAATAAAAAATGTAGCATAAGTTTCAAGTCACCTTGTTTTGAGCAACTTCAGCTTGGATGCCAAGGATCCCTGCTCCAACATCCATGGCCACAATCAAAAGACAAACCACAACGCCTCCCAGTTTAACCATTCTTTTTTTTTCTAAGACTGATGGGGGAGAAAGGGTTGTGAATATATATATATATATATATAAAGTAGTAAAGTTATAAAGCATGCACTGTGGAATGGGATAGCTGGTAATGCTATAAGAAACCTAAAAAGAAGCTTTTTTTTTTTTGTGTGAATACAGTGCTCTCTACTTTGGTGTTTGTTTTTTAATCTTCTTTTATATTTCTTTCTTGTCTCCGGGATTCCTTTGATGGGAACAAGAAAAGTAGGGTGTAAACCAGGACTGTGCCCAAGTGTTGTGTGAATATTTGACTTCGTTTCACTTATCCATTATTCATACTGTCAGAAAATAAAGAAAATGTTACATCTTAAAGATAAGTTATGGATACAGTTCTAGTTGAAATCTAATGATCAAGTACGGAGGCATTATTTTACGTTAGGCAACGGATTTATAAAAATTTAAGATAAATAAATTTATAAAATTTAAGAGATAATATAAATGTTTTTTAATAAAAAATATGAAAACATATCTAAGATATATAAAAAATTAATTTTTTAAGAAAACGGCGGCCTCTTCTGTCCTTTTTAATCCATCCTAATAGTGATAGAGCTGACTTATAAATTAATGAAATGAATTAACTAAAGTAATGGTTTGATTGAAATGTTTTAGGGTTTACGAACTAATATAAAATATATAATTAATAGATGAAAAAATAGTTTTGCTACAATAAACTCATATTCCAGTTAAAGAGAAGGTGCTTTGTGGACCCATGGGGGAAGAAATAGGTAAAATATGAGATAGTGAGTTGAACTTAGAGCTCAAAATCGGTGCAGCTAAGCTGTATCACATATTTCAGGCCTTGTGCAGTGTATGCCTACAACGGTAGCAGTACTACCTCATCTGATTAATCAACGCTTTCACACAACTATTTAGGGATGAATATGTATCGTATTTTCAATCAATTTAATTCGATTGGATAAAAATATATAATTTATCTAAAATTTCATTCTACTTAAAATTTGATTCGATTTACATATAAGATAGCTTTATTTAACTTAAAATTTTTGACGCATTTTTTGAAATAAAATTTGCACCTGATCCAACAAAAATATGTGTATAAAACATTTTTAGTTTTATTTTAAATTAGCGATTTAACTGAAAAAATATAAAAATACATTATTATAATTATCTCTAAATATATAAAAATCGGATCGAGTCAATTATTTTTTATCCTAAATCCGAACCAACCCGAATTTATACTCTAAAAATCTGATATGTATCGAATCCAACTTTTTTTTTTATAGAAAAACCAATATAATAAAATCATATTAGATCGAAACTTTTTGGATTCAGTTCGTGTGCTCATCCGGTACAAGATTGTAAGAACTAAGAAGTACCTATACACACTAACAAGTTTCTCTTTATTCCATACATGCAAAGAAATCTAAGGATGGAGAAAGGGGTATTTTTTTGAATTAATTATTGGTATTCGATCTATTAATTGATTAATCCATATCGGGTATTGCAAAGGTGGGAGTGACGCTTTCAATCTAGTTTGCTCTATTTGTAAACGTCATGGTTCGAGTCTCTAACATTGCTTAAGAGATCTAACAACTCATCCTACTAAACCAACTAGTTCTCGATGAGAAAGGGATATTTAAACATAAGCATCTGTGAATCAAACATGGAATGAATTATTGCATGCGACATTTTTACCATAAACAGAAAATGCTTCAAATTGATCTTATGTCAATAATCTTTCCCGTCCCCCCCCCCCTTTTTCCCTTTAATTGCATCGACATCGTTTGGATTGAAGGTGAAATCTCTTTTTCAAGCAGCTTTGCATGCTAGGGAGAAACAAAGATTGCTGAGATTGACCCCTCATAAGATGAGGGCCGGGAAAATTCAATGGTGAAAATATACTCTTCGTTGAATCGCATCCATAACGACTTGCTTTCGGAGATTAGCTTCAGAATTTGAGAGCTTTTGAATCAGATCTGGATCGTAAGATCTCTTCATTTTCAACAATAAAAAACAGAAAACATATCAAATAAGCTAAGTTTTCACTAGCAATAGTCAAAATTCAGCTTTAACTCATAAAATATAGATGATAACTGCGCAGAAAATAATGACCTCATCTTTTCCTCAGCTTCATATTTCTTTCGGTTGAGATTAGAGAGTTTTCTGAAACTCAAGAAAACTCCAACTTCCATTTCCAGATTCCCTGAGTTGAGCTTAGTCTTTCCATGATTCCATCTATTCTGTAAAATCAAATGCAAAGAATATACAAGGGAATTTAGCTTAGATTGTAGAGTGCTAACTTAACATGCGAGAGGTACGGGGATCGATAAACATCTGTTCTGAATCATGCGGTGCATCTGAAACAAAAGCATGCTGTGAGAATTTGTGAAGGGATAGGTCCGATAGGCTGCATGGTAGGCATGATTCTTTTCTAAATTTTTACCTTTATATTCTACTGTGTTCTTGGTCACTTTTTTTTAGCCTAGAAGGGAAGGACAGTGTCGGAACCGTATTTCGGTTGGGTCTCGAAATTGAGTTTCGATTTGAAATAATGGGTTAGGAGTCGCCACCGATAATTTATTTTACGAAAAATAGGTTGATCGGATACTTTAGTTCTTACATGATCTGCGTCTTACCAAAGATGTGTCGGATTCGGGAGTTGGCTACAGTCAAGGAAGGGTTAGCACCCTTTAACTGCACTTTCGGTATTACGTAACTTCCAGTTGTCTTAGGTTAAGAAAATTGAAATTTAAATTAAAAAGATAAAATATCGATCCAAATTACTTACTTCTAATAAATTTGAATGAAGACTCTTAAGAAGAAAACGTTAAATTTGGAGTGCTGAAAATAAATAAGATAAAAATAATTACAAAATCAATGATACAAATAAGAAGAGACAATAAAAAATAAACTAATGATAAATAAGATACATAAAGGAAAAGAAATAAAGGGAAAAAATAAAATAAAAAACACATACTAAATGAATAAATAAATATATATATGCATGGATAGTAATAAAATAAAATAAAAAACAAACATAAAGATAAAGGAATGAAAATTATATAAAAACAAAGAAATAAAAATAAGACATACATTAAATAAATAAAAAACAAAGGAAAAAATAAACACAATAAAATAGATAAGTAAATGAAATAAATCAAAAAATCAAAAAATTAAAATATATATGTATATAAATTTAAAAATAATAATAGTAATAGAAATAATGTTAGCTATAAATATATATATATATATATATATATATATATATATATATATATATATATATATATATATATATAATAAAATAAAAATGATGTATATAAAATATATATGTATACGGGAATAAAATATAAAAATATAATAATAGTAGAGATTAAATTAGAACAAAAGCAAAATTAAAGGATAAATTTGCAAAGAAAATTGAAGATTATATTCGATTTAGGACTAAAATGAACTTTTAAAACTCACGGGGACTAGAATGGGATTTAACCCATTTTCATTTAAAAACACGCAGATCCCCTAAGGGACCCGCTCGGGTCGGGTCAGGTTGGTATATAAGCCAATGTTTTGGCTTTAATCCTCATTTTTCCTTCTCAAAAAACGAAAGCCCTCCCCCCTTTAAAATTTTTCTCTTGCCTGTTCATCCCAATGGATGAACACATGCTATAATTTCTAGAACTCGGCCCTCGACTGCCCCACGCCGCCTCGCTGTCGCCGTTGATCGGCGCCGGCCGCCGATCATCGGTTGCAAAAGTTTTGAAAAAAAAATTCCTTTTTTCGAAGCTCTCTTCCTCAACTTTTCAAAAATCAAAGTTTTTTTTTTTAAAAAAACCAAGCTTTAGGGAAGAGTAAATATAAGAAATATTTTTTGAAAATAAGGGCCTCACTTTGTTCATCGGCCAAAATTTTGTTTTTTCGAGCAAATATAACAAGGCAACCACGTATGCAAGGAAGAGTCGAACTAAAGGTAAAAAGGTATTACCTTTCTTTATTTCTTTCTTTTCGAATGTTTACAAGCCTTGGATCCTGTGTATTTCGAGTATTTCACGTGCAATCTCTAGGTATTTTTTCGTGTGTGTGAGTGTTCTAATTACATGAGATTTATAGCCTTGGATTTTAGAGTTTGATTCCTATTACAACTCTAACTCTGTTATTTGTTGGTGGTGTCCCTTGAGCCGGAGATCTCGGGGTTGTTGGAGACGAGTCGTACGACCGCGGAACTCGGAGAGGAAGGCGTGGGAAAGTCTCCTTGGCTGCTGCGGCGCTAGTTGGAATGAATGATAGGGTTAGGGTTATAAAACCCTAATTGATTTGGGTTGAGGTTGGACTAGTTTTGGTGCTTATACTGGGCCAAATGTAATATTGGGCCTGATACAGAAATGAGACAAATGTAAAATGTATTAATTTAATAAAATAATAATAATATTTATACAATACATATATAATATATAATATATAAATATATGTTTATTTTGGTCATAAAAAGTGTGTCTACAACTGTCTCTCTTTGCCCATAGTCATGTAACGGGGATAGGGCAAAGATTAAAAGACACTTTTCGTTCACATCGAATATCCTCTATCATAGAGTTTAAATCCGATGTTTGACTGGTTTGAACTATGAAATGCCTGTCTCGTCGTGAGGTCGAGTTGAACTGAAAAATTCTGAGCACGGAATCCTTCGTCGCGAAGTGGCCTCTGAATCGCCTTCTAGCTCAAGATACTTCGTCGGGAAGCTGAAACTTGACCTGAATACTTTGGTGTTGTTGTGTTACAGATGATCCCTTCGTCATGAAGTTGAGTCAATCTGTTGGGGTACGAACCCTTTGTTATAGAGTTAGAATCATATATGACCCCTTCGTCGTGAAGTTGAGCCTGGGAATTGGATATCCTTCGTCGTGAAGTTGAAATCCAATGTAAGTTGCGTTGTTTCGAGGCCAATATCCTTCGCTGTGAAGTTGAAATTAACTCTGAAACTAGAAAGTTTATTGACATGTATTCCTTCTTTGAGTTGG